CGCTCGGGGCTGGTGCCCGGTCCTGAGCGGAGGCTGTGGTCCCGCCTGGTCCCTGCGCCCTGCAAAGCCGAAGAGCAAACCCGAAGACCTGACAGCCCGGGTCCAGGCTGAGAGCTCAGCCCACCCAGAGCGTCCACACCCGCTGCGTGCAGGGTCCAGCAGCTCCAGGCACCTCCGTGCATGCAGGGCTGCCTGCTTCCAGCGCGGGCCCAGTGCCCACCCGTGGGCACCCTCTCTGTGCCCTGCTGGGGCCACCCCTGCCATCGTGGAGCTTGAAGTCCTGCAGCCAGCGAGCGACGACAGAGGAAAGGAGTCAGGTCTTCATTCTCCCAAGTCCTCTCTTGAGAGCAGCCGTGTGTGAGATGGTCCAGAAGGCCCAGGTTCGAATCCCGACTCCTCTACGCCTTAGCCTTGGGCGAGGAGGTCCCTGGCCTCTCTGAGCCTCAGCCCTGAAGCCTCGTCGGTTACGTAGGTGGGTGTGAGGGTCAGACAAGACAAGGATTGTGGGAGAGTCTGTAGATGGAGTGAGCTCATGGGATGCCAGTGGTTCTTCCTGCTTCTTCGGCTCCAGCACCATTTCTGGGAACCTCCCTGCACTCCACCCCGGTACCCGCTCACTGCTGTCCTTCCGGAAGGAAGAAGTACTTAGAATAGACCCTCCCAGAGGATGGAGTGGGACCATGTCGCTAGAGTCCCCACAATCAGTGACACAGATGCGTTTCCTTATAAAATATAATTGCTGCCTCCTCAGGGCAGAGTGTGGTGGGGAAGCAGCGTCACCGCGGAGCGCAGTTTCTCCAGGGACCGCAGCCGAGAGTTTGTTTCAAAGCTCGGGAAGGAACAAGCTCCTTCTCTGAGCGCTCCCCGCACCTCCCATCAATGACGCCTTCCTGTCGAGGCCAGAGGTCAGGCGTGGACATCGGCCAGAAGCGGGGAGGAAGGCAGGGCTGGGGCAACTCTTCAACACGGACAGATGGAGGCCAAGACACAAAGTCAGCCACAGGATCAGCAGGAGGACAAAACCGTCCCCGCCTGAACTAGCCAGAGCCCGAGGGAGAGAATACCAACCCCGAGAGGATCACCAGCATGGGCTCTGTGCTGCCATATGCTACCCATTGCTGCCGAGGGCCCTGTCTCCGAGGGCTCCTGGCAGCTAGTGGATGTCTTCTCAGAACACACATTTATGTACTAAGAGTCCATAGCAGAGAGTATAGGACAGAGTTCATAGTCCCCCTTAAGAGTGAGGTGGGCTTGGGAAGGATAGTGAGAATCTAATCTGGCCACTGCCTGGCAATTGTTAGCAACAAAAGGAGTCACATCAGGGAAAACTGTTAATTTTAAGTATTGGAGAATTCCAAGTCTGAGTGGTAGAGATGTCCCCCCGAAAGTTTAGTCTAATTTGTTTCATCTCCTTGTAACTTGCACCCATGCGTCGCAGAGAGCTGGGCCCTCTTGGAGTCAAGTAGAATGAATGGAAGTCCCTCTGGATTTCCTGGACGTTTCCCTGCAGTTAGAACTGGGTAGAAACCCCAACTGGCACGAAGCTGTGAGCCTGCTCCCAAGCCTGTCTGAACCTCAGGACTCATGTAAAGGTCAGAGAATAACAGGACCGATCGCACAAATGAGTCCTCCGCATCACATGGGAGGGGGCAGGTCAGGGCTCACACAGTCCCTGGCACATAAGAAGTGCCCAGTAGCAGTTCTTTTTTAAATATTTCTCAGGAGCCCAAATTCAGTGACAAAAATACTTCGTGAAGGGTTGGGAAATGAGGAGTTTACAGCCTGCAAAAGGGCCAAGCAGGGATAGGAACCCCTCAAGTTGAAGTGTTGTTCCCTAAAAGTCCCGATGCAGGGAGAGTTCACCCAGACATGTTATTCTGGACATTCAACCAGTGCTCCTGTCCTACACGCAGGACAGCCCTTCAGGTCTTCTTTCCCCATCTTCCAGCTTCGTTTGTCTAAATCTCTTTCCAGTGTTCCATGGGTCACCTCTGTTACAAGTTGAATTATGTCCCCCCTTCAAAAGATATGTTAGAGCCCTAAATTGCCAGTGAGTGAGGATGCAGACTCACACCCGTGAATGTGCACTTATTTGGAATTGAGGGTCTTTGCAGACAGAGTTTAGATGAGGTCATCGGGTGAGCCCTAATCCCATGATTGGCATCCTTAAAGAAGAAGCAGAGAGGAGGCTGCTGTGTGAAGACACAGAGACCCAGGGAGAAAGGGGCCACAGGAAGACAAAGGTCAAAATTGGAGCGACCTGCCACAAGCCAGGAACGCCTGGGGGCCATTGGAAGCTGGAAAAGGCAAGAAAGGATATTCCCCTTTAGGCTTTGGAGGGAGCAAGGATCTGCTGCACCTTGATTTCAGACTTCTAGCCTCTAGAACTGTAAGATAATAAATGTGTTTGTTACAGCAACCCTAAGAAACTCCCAGAGATGGTTGCCTAACATGCAGGAGAAAAGAGGAAAGGCTTACGAACAAACCCAGTCATTGAGTGTCATGGCTGGGAGCCAATGTTTGCTCACTTGTTCATTCAACAAACATCTGAATGCCTGTTCCTTGCAGGCACAGGTTAGATGCCGAGGATAGGATGAAGAGCAAGATAAGGCTCTGCTCTTTGGGAGCATTCATTTAGTAGGGGGTTGTAGAGCTCGAACAATTAATGGGATAAATAACCGGGGAGTGCTAGAGGCCCACTGGGGAGGAAATAAAACTGGCGGGTGTGATGTGGAAGGGAGTGCAAAGCAAGAGAAAGGATCTGAATGGCTCAGTGAAGCGAGTGTCAGAAGATGAGCTCTAAGTCATGAGTAGGAACCAGTGCAGGAAGGTGGAAGAGCTTCACATAAAGGCAAGAGCATGTGCAAAGGCCCTGAGGAGGGCATACGCTGGGCATGTTTGAGGAAGAGCAGGAAGCGCAGTGCAGATTGGGATCATCCCAGTTACTTGCAAACTGCGACCTTAAGGAGTCATTTCCTCAGTTCTGCCAGCCAGGGCTGTGGCTCAGAGGGAGGCACCCTACCCCACTGTGCCTTGCAAAAGGGCCAGGTCTCTAACAGCGGGTTGGGAATTTTGGGCTAACATTGGGGGAGGGGAGGCAAATCTCTGGCGCTTCAAGACAATGCATAAACAGGACATCCAAGGCGGTGGCTTTTTTTGTTGTTGAAAACATTTCAGAAATGTCTAGTAATTTCTTTGACCTTAGTTTGCTCATCGGTGAAAGAGGGATAAATGCTTTGCCCCGGTCCCCGAGCTCAATTCAGTTCTTCTCCCAGTCCTCGGACGCAGGGAGTGGAGGCTGCAGGGTCCAATCCTGATCCCATTACTCATCTGTACCAGCTGTGTGACCTCGGGCAAGTTACTGCCAGTCTCTGAGGCGCTTTTCTTAACAGTAAAAAGGAGTGAGTGGAGCAACCTTCCATGGGGGTAGTCGGGCAGAGGACAGCGCCTGCGGCTAGGGCTAGGCTCAGATCCCAGCCGCCCTGCCTCCTTCCCTGGAGCTCCGGGTTGCTCACGTCTTGCTTCACCACCCACTGGCCTGCTGGAGGGGAGCTTTGAGCAGCGCACTGGGCATGCGCAGCCAGTAGAACCCAGGAGCCCGCCAGGAGGCTGGCCCCGCCCGCAAGCGTAGTGCGCTGCAGTACCACCAACCGCCTGTGGCGTCGCTGCGCAGCTGCCCTGCTGGCTCCCGTAGAATTCTACCAGGCTCAGCCCGAGCTGCCGGCTCTGCGCTCGCCGGGCTGTCAGGGCTGCATCCTGGGCTCCCGACTTGCCCCTGTGAGAATCTCCATGGGCTTCGTTGCTTTTGTTTCGCTTATTTTTCGGACCGGAGCTGGAGCAGGAGCGGAGGCTGGACTTCCAGCGCCGGCGGGATAGCCGAGGACGTCACGCAGCGCTGTGCGCCGCCCCCTGGCCTCCCGTTGCGCAATCCTGAACTATGACTGCAACGCTTGCATTCAATCAAGTGCAATTATCGTCCTGGAGGATCACACAAGGCCGGGCGCAGAATAGGCCGGCTTCCAAGTCCAAGCTTGTCCGAGCCATCGGCGCCCCTTGCCCAGACCAGGGCTAGGCAAAGCATGGTGGGGACAGGGACCGGCCCCCACTGCGGTTCCCCAGGGAGGGGATGGGTGCAGAAAGGGAGATGAGCGTTTAGAAACTTTCATAGCAATTGGACACGCGGTGGGACCAGCAGAACAAGTAGAGGAATACTGACTGGGGGCGGTCACTCCCGGCTCAGGCAGCGTCCTCGCCCCCAGCAGTAGACGCGAGTAGGTTCAAACGGGATAGGAATGAGGGAAGACCTGGTCCTTCCATATAGAGTTAGTCCTGCCCTACACTGCCTCCCCCAGTACCTCCTATGGCTGCTCCTCAGCCTGTGCCCGCTGCTACACGGGGCTCCTCTCTGCCCAGCTGACCACTAGGCTTCTCCTTCACCAAGACCCCTGATAGATGGATAGATGGCGGGCTCACCAGCACTTACCCGCAGTTCATGAGTACAATGGTAGCAGACTTTTCTTAGCTGCTTCCCCAAATCTGTTTCTCCTTTTCTTCTTGGTAATAACCCTC